GGGTACCTGCGAGGCCTATGAGAGGCTGGTGCTCCCAGCATCCTGCTTCACATTCCCCACCCCCAACTCCAGGGCTTCTTCCGACGCAGCATCCAGAAGAACATGGTGTACACATGTCACCGAGACAAAAACTGTATCATCAACAAGGTGACCCGGAATCGCTGCCAGTACTGTCGGCTACAGAAGTGCTTTGAAGTGGGCATGTCCAAGGAAGGTAGGCCCCAAGCCCTGGCCTGGGCAGGAACGCTCCTAACCTAGCCTGTGTTTGCTGCGCTCTTTCTACTTCCCGGACATCTGAGATGCAGCTTGCCCTGCGGTGTTGCCTCCTTCCTAGCCAGTTCTATTTGATTAGCAGCATTCACCCAGGAAGCCCTGCCCATCCTCCCCTCTTGGAGCTTAATTAACCCTTGAGTAAATGGGGGCTATCATCGCACATTCTCCTGTTACATGGAGGGGTGAGGGGGGTTTGCCAGTTCCCTACCCTGCTCCCAGGACTGAGCCTGAGGTGGATCTGGGGTGCCCCCCCCCCCTGCGCCATTGTGCTGCCAAGGCTATAAGTGGATATCCTGCCGCCTGCATATCCTGCCCCCCCACCTCAGCTCCTGCAGGGTGACAGGAAGGGCAGGATGGAGCTGAATGGCCTGGGGAGGGAGCAGGGGCTGTAGGCCCTGGGTGGGGCTGGGGAGAGCCAGCCTGGAAATGGTAGCTAATGTAGGAGACAGAGTAACTGAGGCACTGACTAGGGTCCCAGGGTGAATAGATGTTCACGATAAGGATGGAGCACATTAAATTAGGGTGTAGGGGGATATCCAGAGGGAGGTTCTGAGGGTCCTGACCCTCTCTTTGCACCTCCACCCCCAAGCTGTGCGGAATGACCGGAACAAGAAAAAGAAAGAGGTGAAGGAAGAAGGCTCGCTTGACAGCTATGAGCTGAGCCCCCAATTAGAAGAGCTCATCACCAAGGTCAGCAAAGCCCATCAGGAGACCTTCCCTTCTCTCTGCCAGCTGGGAAAATACACCACGGTGAGGAGGGGGCAGGGGACTGTTGGTTTTGGGGCATGGGTAGGGGTGTGTTGGAGGCTATGGCCTGGTGCTGAGGGACAAGGAAGGCATCAGAATGCAGAGGGGCGAGCTTGAGGTACTGGCAGAAAGAATACAGCTTTCAGGGCAGGTCTCAGCTTGCATCCTCACCTGCCCTCCCTGTAGAACTCCAGTGCAGACCACCGGGTGCAGCTGGATCTGGGACTGTGGGACAAGTTCAGTGAGCTGGCCACCAAGTGCATCATCAAGATTGTGGAGTTTGCCAAGCGGCTGCCTGGCTTCACAGGGCTCAGCATTGCTGACCAGATTACTCTGCTCAAGGCTGCCTGCCTGGACATCCTGGTGAGTTATAACCCCGTGGCCTGTCTTCCACCATAGCCTGACCCTCATATGAGACCAAGGAGTTGGTCCACTCAAAGATTTTTATTATTTCTCCTTCCTGCATTCAATCTGGGATTCCCCATATCTCTGTTTTTTGTTGTTGTTAATCCTCATGCGAGGATATATTTTCCATTGATTTTTAGAGAGAGTGGAAAGGAGGGGGAGAGAGAGAGAGAATGAAACATCCATGTGTAGAGACACATCAATTGGGTTGCCTTCCTCACACACCCCAGTCAGGGCAGGATCAAACCTGCAATCCACGTACATGTCCTTGACTGGGAATTGAACCATTAACCCTTCGGTTCGTGGGCTGACTCTAACTACTGAGATCCCGGGGATCCCCAGATCTCCTCTCAGCACCACCCTTTTTATCTTAACCCCTGTCCCTAAGATTGATCCTGGACTTCTGGATGTCCTCCCTCCTTTTGACTTCTCCCCCCTCCCCAAGCTTCAGATCTTACACACCTCTCTGTCTTCCCCCACTGGCCTGCTTCAGGTTGCCCTCATTTTGGACCTAACCACCTCACTTTCCATGTGCACCTCATTCCCTCTTTGCACTACGCCCACATGTGCCCCTCTCCAGAGAGAGCATTAACCCTCCCCTCACCCACCTCTAGATGCTTCGGATCTGCACAAGGTACACCCCAGAGCAGGACACCATGACCTTCTCTGACGGGCTGACCCTGAACCGGACTCAGATGCACAACGCTGGCTTTGGACCCCTCACTGACCTCGTCTTTGCCTTTGCTGGGCAGCTCCTGCCACTGGAGATGGATGACACAGAGACGGGTCTGCTCAGTGCCATCTGCCTCATCTGCGGAGGTGTGGGGGCGCCCCCTGGTGTTTTTTCGGGTTCCTTTCTCACCACACATCATACCTGATCTCTCACCAGGCTGGAACCCTTGGTCTGTACCCGTGGGATTGTTGTATTTGGCCTCATCCGCAGACTTCTTAGATCCAGTGCCAGCTTCCTGAGCCTGGACATAGGACAAAAAGGCCAGAGCTAGGGGGAGCTGGAGAGACCCCAGATACTGGTGCTGAGAGAGGGGTCGGGGCAGGAGTGATTTATCAGAGCAAGCCTCTTACTAAAGGGGAGAAGGTACAGAGCCTGGAGCAGGGGAGATGGCCTGGATGGGGCTTAGGGAAAATAGGCCAAGGGCTGATGGGACAACATTTGAGGCCTGGAGGCCCATAAGGCAGGCCAATTGAGGATCAGCCACTTGTCGCTGCCCTCCCCACCTCTTCCATTCTACACTGTGCTTGTCCTCATAGACCGCATGGACCTGGAGGAACCTGAAAAAGTGGACAAGCTACAGGAGCCACTGCTGGAAGCCCTGAGGCTATATGCCCGGCGGCGGCGGCCCAGCCAGCCCTACATGTTCCCAAGGATGCTCATGAAAATCACTGACCTCCGGGGCATCAGCACCAAGGGTTAGTCATAAGTGAGCCTTCCCTCTCTTCCCAGAGGTGCTGGTCTTCCAGGTCAGTCAGGTGGACAAATAGAGGCAAGAACTGAGTAGGTGAGAACCAGGGGCCTACAGTGGAATCTAGGTCTGCCACATGCTGGCGGGGAAGACTTTGGGCACATTCCTTTACTTTGTGTGCCTTGTTCTCCTGCTTGTAAACTGGACTATACTTATACCTACCTCATAAGTTATTGTGAGGTCTAAATGAGTTAACACACAACAGACTTCGAACTGTACTGAATGAAAAATTCAGTTCCTCAGTGGCAGCAGCCACATGACTACACTTACAATAGTGGATGGAGTAGATAGTCCATCATCGCTTTAAGTTCTGTTGGACAGTGCAGGTTTAGAAGGATGCCTGGCAGATAGTAAGCATTTGCTAAATAATAAGCATGATTATATGCTATTAAAAACAGGCGTAGGAACAACTGGTGAGCTGTGGATGTTTGGAGGGTGGGGTCCCTGGGG